TAGCGTAAGGGTGGGCCATTTAGAGTACGAAGTATGTTCTCACTGCTGGTATCAATCCAGTTGAGACAGCAGTTGGTCAAGATTTTCAAGCGCTGGTGAGGAGCAAACACTTACAGAATCTCTGGAAACAATCTGCAAAGGCCTTCAGCTTTATTAGGCTGTGACAAGCACATTCTCCCAAAGACGAAGAGATCGTCCTGCTGCTCGCTGAGAACTTCATCCCAGAATTGCAATAGCTCCAAAATCGCTTAACATTCTCCTTACGATCAACTTTCTCTTCACGTTCCATATTTTGGAAGTTTCTCATTCAGCAACCGCAAAAGCTCAATATGTCATTGTCTGTAGAAGAAATTCTTACGTTTGTACTGTTTTCCGTTCCGGGTCTGCAACCTTAACAAGTTTCTTGCTAGGCGTATTATTCTTTCGCTAGTATAGGAATGAGGAACGAAGCGCGAGATAAGAAAATGGCAGTGACTCACGAGAGCTAGGTAGCAGTCATCCATAACTTCATATTTGTAAAGATCTGGTGCCAGTTTACACGGAGAAGATAACCACGAATACTGTCATAGTCTCTGATGGCAAAGTTTATAAACAACTTCGGAGATTAATGTGGTTCAGCAAGAGGCAATGGGAAAGAAACTTTGGCATGATCAGACTTGGGAAGGGTGTTTCAAGTGAGACGCCGGAAATGAGCGCAGAATCGCCTGATAGGATACTATCTAGAAAATTGGAATTGCGCACTGATTTCTGCGGCAAAGTACATTCACAGCTGCATTACTGGATAGGTGATTTGCATGGAGATGCACTGCAAATAAACAAAGCTGCTCAAGATGAAAGGGATGAAGAAACGGTAATCCGACTGATCATCATAACTCCGTCATCAGACATGTATCCCTCCCTGTAACGTCTATAAAGTTGATAGGAGTGACCGGCAACGCATTTACAGACTGCCATAAAGAGGATGAATCCGTTAAAAACACTAGATGGTGCTAGATGATCATTATATCCTCTCACGTTGGTGCTGAAACGTGTGGGTACACAGCAGTAGTGTAGCTGCGCGCTCCAGTGCCAACGTGGATTACGGTAGCGGTCACTCATCGGACTGTTAAAACCGGCTTGTGATGCCTGAAGGTCGGGAGAGTTTCCTGTAATTTCAGAGCTGGTGAATTTGTACCGCACTACGTATTGTAGCTTACCCATACTCGTAGTCCATTGACCAGATTGCTCCTTCAGGGAGCGGGGGAGCGGTCCAACCCCCGTTCTCCAGTGTAGTCGCGTCGTGCAAGGGTGAATAAAGGTTTTGTCAAACTCTGCCGGCCCGACTGCATATACCGTAGAAGTCTCTGCTTCAGCTCCTGAGACGGCAAGCTGTTTATGCAATCCTTCGTCTGGCAACTCCGCTCGGCTGACCCTCTGGATGACAGTGACTGTGATGTTGCCTTTCGAAAAATCTCTCATCAACTCTATCATCGGAGGTCTCTATTTTTTCAACGCCTCCTCGTCAAACCTACTTGTGGCAAGATCGTCCTTTTGCTCGCCTTAACGTGCTCATGCTATCCTTCCCAACTACTCATCGATTTTCTTCTCTTAATATTGTGCTGTCCCGGAGCCTCATCAGCACCTAAATATTGTATAACACAGAGAGGCACCAAAATTTTATTTCAAAAGAATTCCAAAAGTTCAGAAATTCAAAAATTCCAAAAACAAAATCGAAGAGGTCAGCTCACTTTAGAAGGGTATTTTGGCGGATACTTGACTTTGGAAAACAGCTTCCTGCGTCTTCCGGAAAGGAATGTAAATCGGAACGCTACATAATTAGGTCGAGGTAAAAGCTAACGAGAAGAAAATCTAAATATTGTATAACACAGAGAGGTACCAAAATTTTATTTCAAAAGAATTCTAAAAGTTCAGCAAATTCAAA